AAGAATTTTAAAGAGTTTAAAGGCAAATCCACAAGTTTACATTTATACATTTGACTATACACCAGGTAAACTCATGGTGCTAACACCTCAAAAACATCCTATATTTTTGATGTCTTCTCTGGAATTCAGGCTTTTCTCAAGGTAGATCTTTGAATATGTTGTTTTCTTCCTTGAATTCATTGTCTTTATGGTTCCCTGCCTCTTCAGCTTCATCCTCTCCATTCCCTCCTTTTCCCAACATCCTCAAAGGCCAGAGGAGGCCATGTTGGGAGGGCTGTGGCTTGTGGCAGCAGGGCGCACTTTTTTCCTTGGTGAGGAAGTAGAGCAAAGCATTGAGCCAGGCATTGAAGGAGGCAAGCGGGCGAGTGATTTTGTAACAAATGGAGACCATTTGCATTGTATGGCACTGCACCCTGCTGGTAACTTTAAGCACCAAAAATATGGTTCTGGTCACATGAAAGGGGAAGAAGCAAAGGGCAAAGAGGAGAGTGATGGTTATGATGGTCTTGATGGACTTCCGACGCCTGTTCACATAAGGTGAGTGAGCCCCCAGAATGATCGACATACCTTCTGCCCCTGCCCTGCTTTCACGTTTTGTCCCAGGTCCATTGGCAGGAGGTTGGGAGTGCAGTGTTCGGAATATCGTCATAACTACACGTGAATAACACCAGGCAATGATGCTAAAAGGCAGAAAGAAACCCAAGAGATGAAGGGTTATCCCATAAGGAACATAGTCCGGAAACTCCTTATCGATAGCATCGTCCCAGCAGTTCTGGAACCCCTCCACACTTAGGTTTGTGGCATCGTCGTTCACAATTGCCTCCGCTCCACCGTTCCTTCGACGGGGAAGATACTCTGTCTGTGCGAATCGGAAAATTGGGCAAGTTAGAGCAAAGACAGCAACCCACACTAGAACGCAAGTGCCCTTCACAGCTCTCTTGGTCTCCAGGGTGATGGTCCTCATGGGATGACAGATGCCTAGGTAGCGATGCACAGAGATACAAGTGAGGAAAAAGATGCTGCAGTACAGATTGAAGTAGAAGAGGAAGCGTACCAGGCGACACATGAAGTCTCCGAACACCCAGTTGTCACGCATGACATAGCTGGCCACCAGGAATGGCAGGGACAAGCCATACATGAAGTCAGTTGTGGCCAAGTTCACCATGTAGATGAGGGAAGCATTCCAGTGCTTAGTGTGACGAAAGGAGCGATAGAGCACCACAGAGTTGAGGGTGATGCTGAAGACAAATGTGAAGGAGTAACAAATAGGGAGAAAGATGTACTTGTAGGACTCGTCAATGTTGCAAGAGGCAGTAATAGAGGAGTTTGAAGAGGAAAGGAGGAGGTTGTCACCTCCTTGCCCTCTTTCCGACAGGGCTGTGGGCACACCTGTCACCATTTCTGGCTGCTTCGGGATCTCTTGTTTAGGAAGTGTTGAAGTTTCATCCTTGCCAAAACCTCCAGTCCCTGATTCCAATGGAAAACTTTGGGATGTGTCTTAATATTCCTCAATCCATAGTCCAGACTCACTAATCTCAAGGTCTGCCACAAGTTTCTGTAGAGATAATAGTACAGTTTTTAGAATAAATGTAATCTAACATACAGAATCGCATTAATTAACCATGATTTAATGGGCTGATTGGTGTTGCTTATTGTTGTTATCCAGAAGTTAAAGAGTTCTTTTCAATGTCATCTTTGCCCCTCATTCAAAAATTGCCCTTCTGTCTGCTTACCTGATTCCTTTTCTTTCCCCCCACCCCATCCCCCCTCTTTCTTTCACAATCTGTGGTGCTGTTTGCGCTGTCGCATGAGTATATGCTGCTGATTCAGACCCTTTTCACTTCAGTAACTCATCAATCAGTAACCACACTTCCCCTCTGTGTTCCATCGTCCGTCCGTCTCTCTGTCCTTCTTACCATCACTTGTTATCCCATGCCAGTCCTCTTCATTCCTTTCAGATTCAAAAAATGGGGTCTTTACTCTCAACTGCTGTCAAAAGACTTTGCGCTCTTTCAGCTCTTCTTTACTTTGTATGCTCCACTGGATGCATTCAAACATCAAATATCTTTTTGAAATAGATGCCATGCCATGGCTATCATGCCCTTCTAGTAGACTGAGCATTTTGCTGAGTAGCTACTCGGCAAAAGGTTATATTGCTCAGCTCTTAAGAAACATATAAGACATTAAGTCAACAGAGCAAAGCGGTCAGTCGACCATGTTATGGTAAATCATCCATTTGCTTCTTAATGGGGTGTAAGACAATTCCAGAAAAAAATATATAAATTATATAGAGCAATATGTTGCCTGAATAACATTTCTCAGAAACTGCAGCCCATGAAGCTGAAAGTAGAATGTAAAAAGGCAGGCTGTGTGCCTAATAGGGCAATATAGCTGCAGTGAATCAGACTGCACTTAAAAACCTGGATCACTGTGTTTGCATGCTTTTATATACAAGCTGGAAGACTTACCAGTTCCTTAGAATACAGCTTTGTGAAAGGTAAGAATCCCTTTTCAGTCTGTTGAAGAATCTCAAACGGAAAAGTGCTGATACCAGAAACATCTCTATTTCACTGTCCGATCATCGGAGTAAATGGCAAGAAAGCATAGGCGAATATAAAAGACAGTAAGATCAAGCTCCTTCTTAGCACACTCCAGCACTGTAAACTGTTGCTCCACTTCACCTCTGCTCTTTGTCCGACTTGTGTTGGACCAGTCTCTCCATCCCTCCCTTCTTCACGGTCTCCCTTCACCTCATAATCGGTCCCGCCCCCTGTCTATCTTCTTTCCTCTATTTGTGCTGAGCTGGCCTTTTGAAGATACAAACTCTGGCTAGGCATGACAAATACACATGGTCACACCTGGCATTTTCTGTGTTCAAAACTTTTGTGGGTCCTCCTTTAAAAGAAAAGCTCTCATGTAAACAAACTGAACCTACTCTACACAACATACACTGAATTTACTGTATCTTATACTGGAGATTAAAAAGAACATCCACAAAGAGTAAGAATTCACTCAAGTTGTCTGAGATATGTATAGCAATGCCATTTAATTATTATAGGTAGTGTTAAAGACCCATATCTTAGCATGTGAGACTTCATGCAAATTTCTTCTCCCACTTCTCATCATCCCACTGTTACACAATTTTCATCCGCACTGAGCGCAGGTGCAGAATATACTGTAACATATGTCAACCCTTCTGGAGTTAATTGCTTTATCTGTTTGCTCCTCAAGTGTCTGTGTGTGACTGTAAACTATTGACTATCAAATCAAACATACAATACATCATTGAAATGCTGCAAATGTGATGTACATGTAAATGAACTGGAATAAAAATAATAAAAAGAATGATTTGTCAAAAACAATTGGATTTTGGAAAGAGGTTGCTCCATAGGCAGCAATAGCAGCTTATCAATGCCTTAAAACACCCTTAAAAAAAGCAAAATAAGAAAACAACAGCAACATAACAACACAACTAAAATGACCGCAAATCTGTGCAATAGAAACAGTCTTTTGGAGTGGTGAAGCTTTTCACAGTACAGTTTCATTCTTCCAGGCAGATCTCCCAGGTCTGTAGGTTCATGGTGGCAGCATCACTTTCATCCCTTGAAGTAAGTGCCCTCTTCTGCCTGACATCACAGAGATGTCATATCCTGTATCTCCAGTAACATGGCATCCTGCTCGGTCCTCAGCTGGTCCCTTGTAAGAAGCCGTCCCACTAACTCTGAGCTGAGGTCTATGGACATGCACATAAACACAAAGATAAAACCATGTTAACAGTGAAAGATAAGTCATGCTTCGGTGTATGTTATGGCTTCATGCTGTATGAATCTGCCTGTTTCTACACACACACACACACACACACACACACACACACACACACACACACATAATTGTATACTCAATTACAAGATGCACTGCCCTAAATCCACTTAAACGGGCCCAATTATGCCTACTTTGTCATAAAACACAAAGTTAGTCACTTGCATTACTATACAAATACACACTTTTAAAAGTTGCCTTAAATCTTCACTCATTGGCTGTTTTGTCAGGTACGCCTACCCTGTAAGCCGTCGGTGGTGCAACAAAGATGTGTCTAAGCAGTTTCCCTATAAGTCCCATTTAAAATGGACATTAAAAGTCAAATGTAGTGCACAAAACAAATGTTGTAAGTTATTCCAAAATAATTTGCTAAGTTGCTAAGTCAGTACGTAGCAGCATGCGTGATACCTCAAAACAAAGGAGGTGTGAAGCATAGCAATATCCTTCCTAGTTAGATCTGTGGTTAATTGATATGCTGGCAGACAACGATGTGTTTAAATTTATTTGGATGCTTTCTGTTTCATAAAATGGTACTGAACTGTGCTGGCACAACCCCTCTACCTGATTATGCCACTTGGAAAGTCAAGAGTTTATGAGAAATTTGCTTTGAACTGATTGTAAATAAACAGTGAAATATGTGGAAAACACTGTAGTGCCACTTTTCATGTAACTGCATTCAAATACATCTGCCTGCATACTGTTCTCAAAAGAAGAATTCTACCAACCTTTCAGACTTTCACTATAACTAAACATTTAAGATGAAAAACAAAGTGGTTTGATGTGAAATGCCCCATGCTAGAGTCAGAATTGTTCACAGTTGTTGTGATAGGAACCAGACGTCTGAAGTGTTTAATGCCTCTTAAAAGCTTCTTCACATAAAGTTCTTGCATGAAATGTTTAGGAATGAGCTGCCTGATAACTGACATGATAGTGTTTAAATCAGATTTTGGCTAAAACTATTATGCAGGGCTATATGCAGGGTGTTGCAAGGCAACATAGTCCCCAGTACAAACCTATTGTTTCAGATTTAGTACTATTTTAGCATTATCAACACTGCATATAAAACTCGGAAGACACACGTAGGTTTACTAGTCATTCTAGATAGTAAATTAAATGCCTATATTTGCATTTTAGACATTATAATCCCTGGTTTCTATCACTACCAATGTAAAGAAATCCAAATCACTTAGTTTCTCTACAATGAACCATTTCACATCAAACCACTCTGATTGACTACATTCATATCTCAATGGCTGAATCATACAGAAATTTCAAAAATGGTGGAAGTTCACTTTTAGTTCCCTTGTTTGCTGTTATAAAGAGCCTGTGTAGAAATTCGTCTTTGCTGAGTTGGGCTCACAACAAGCCTATTTACTACAAACAACATCTCAAAATATTTTCTGTACATAAATGTAGTTATTTGCCAAAAATGTTGAGCTGAACTTTACATGCTGTGTCTGATCAGCAGTATTTCTCATAAAATGTTTATAAATGTAAAAAACAACACTGAAATGTGTTATTCAGCAATACTGGGGAACCTTATAGAATTTCAGACTAAAAAAAAACACTTACTGTGAATGTCTTTGCTTAGTGTGGTCTTCAGGGCATTCAGCTCCTTCAGGCTGAAATTCTGCAAGTCACTGCGTTTATAGCGTGTTCTCTGTTTGACTGCATCACTGGGGGGTATGGTCTAAAACAGAACAGTCAACATTCATACTTACTCAAACACACATGCATTACACACACAGGTAACAGCAATAATAGAAACAACCAGAGCAATAATAAGAAGAGGAAGAATGAAAAGTGCTTTGGACTTAGAGAATCAGCATTAAAACTGAGCACTTGATCTTGTCAGCTTGAGGTCACTGCATGGCCGCAGACGTACCTGTTTTTGTTCCAACCTCAGCTTGTCTCTAAGCATGTTGAGAGCAGCCCTGACCTCTTTCTTGAACCCTCCTGATTTGGCTTTACTGCGGGTCACAGTGCTGGAACCCTGCTGAGGCTGTTGGACCTGCCCACTGCTACTCTTCCCACACTGCTTCACCAACTGTAAAATGAGAGATGTACATCGTTTCTGTTATTGGAAAACCTAGCTTTTTTCATTTTTTATTCTATTTGAAAAGAACAGCTGGCCCTTATATTGTATGAAAATTTCATGATGAATGGACTGTTAGAAATGGCCCAAAATTACTTGAGATAAAACATAATTTTCATTAATGTACATTTAAATTTAAAGCATATTTTTATTCTCCTATAAAGACACCCTCTCAGAGATTTCTAGTTTTTTTTTTTGATAACAATAACATTTATTATCCATAATACACTTTGTTTGTTTGTTTTACAGTTATTACATATATATCAGATCAAAATCTTTTAACTTTTATTTTGTTAACACTGTTTGAAAATGCTTGATACACTTTACATTGTGTAAACATTTTATGATAAATTGACCAATAGAAATGGCCCAAAATGATCTTGTTACTTTAGCATGTGTTCAAGTTAAACATGTTTTTCCTTTTCTTACAAAGCTACTGTTTCAGAGATTTTTTATGACGGTGATGATATACATCCCCCAGTACATTTTTTTCTAATCGCACTATTTTTCACATTCTTACAATAATTCAGCTGAGTTGGTAATAGTTACAACTACGATTCACATTGCCAATATCACATCAAAACCTTGATTTTCTTTGGTTCACACCATTGAAAAACACCATCTGCTCCTTACAATGTGCGAACGTTTCACAGCCTATGGTCCACAATGAACTGCAACAAAATTTACAGATCTAAAATCAAATTAACTTAAACGTTAAGAACATTTATTTCCTTCTTCTGAAAAGTTAGTGTTTTAGAAATTAACAGTTTAGTTTGGACAGTGATTAAACAGTGATTAAATATACATATTACTATATATACACGGAGAAAAAGAATAGGAAAGTAATGGGTGTAATAGTGGCAATGCATGTACACATGCTTAATAAAAGACACTTTTTAACTTGAACACTAATGGCAGTGTTTGTCCACTGCTGTTCTAAGTGTCCTTGGAGAAACATTATACAAAAAAAGAAACCTCTTTTTTTGCCTCATCTTCCTCGTCCTCGCTCTCGCTGTTGTTGATGAAGCACAGCTGAAGATTCATATGACTCTGGAGTCTGTAAAAAAACAGGTAGAACTCATAAAGTCCACACAATGCAGTGAATAAATAAATGGAGGAGAAGAGAGTTTATCTGTTGTGTACCGTGATGTTAAGGCAGTCAGACGACTGTCCTCCATATCCTCACAGGGGTCCCTGTGTCTAAGGTCATGTAACTCTGGCCAACCTTCTGTCCACCTGGCTAGATCCTTAAAATGATATACAGAAACAGATATTTAGCTACATTATATAACACTGTTGTCAGAAGAAAACCTCGCATCTCCCAAATAGTAACTTTACAGGAGAAGGAAAAAACATACTTTGCTTTTAATATAAGTCAACGTAACCAAAACTAATTTTGAAAATTGTAAATTTGGTAATTTTTGTCCATTCATCCTGAAAGTTACACACAATATAAAGGGCAACAGCTATTTTCAAATTATGTCAAAAACTCAAAAATGAAAATAATGGAGATTTTTTCCAACAGCAGCGATAATGAACAATACAGTATACATATAAACACCAGCTGTATAATACAGTGATGTAAACGTGTTGATATACGTAAATACAAATACTATCATTTTGTCATCCTGCTACTGTTTGTAATAAGCATTTTCACACAGTTTTCCAGCACTTTTACACATGTGTATACTAGGGCTGGGTATTGAAATTCAATACTTTTATAGTACTGACTATAAAAATTCCAAATACCAAATTTCAACACCTAGGTAGGCAGTCCTATCAACATCAGTGAGTGAACAAGCATGCTTGTTAAAAAAACACAGACTGCTGATTGGCTGATGAATATGTTATTCAAATCAGCAGTCTGTTAAACAAGTACACGAAGAACAAATACAACAAATAGCAATAGAACAAATATAAATATCCTTAAATATATATATATTATATATATATATATATATACACATACATACATACATACATACTCATATCAGTACAGAGACATACACAGTCAGAAAAAAAGGTGCTGTGCAGATACATTTTTTTGTACATCAGTGTACAAACAATGTAAATGTACTCTCAAAGGTGCAATGGTTTTAGGTGCAACCAAGTACCTTAAAAACACTTTTCCTAGGGAAAAGGGTCATATTTGTACCTTTTTATAACTTAATGTCTAAAAATAGAAATATATAATGAAAAACCTGGAGTGAACAGAGTATTAGAGTCAATACAACTTAATGAAATGTAATTTCAATGGAATATGATACAATTATGTTCCCTAACTAAAGGTACTAAAGATCTACCCCCACCCCAGTCACAGGTTAGTACCTTTTTTTCTGAGAGTGCCCAATGTCCTAGTATACACAATCTCATACACATTAGAGGGGTCTCTGAATTTCACATCCTTTTTTAAACTGACCTTGTTCCTCTCTTTTCGCTCCTCCTCTTGTCTCTCAAGTTCTGCAATTCGCAAGCTCAGGGCTTCCCAGTGCATGATGGGTAAGTCCAGGTCATCTTCTGGGTAGCCTTCCTGCCACACCAGGGCTGCTCCCTCAGCATCCTCCTCCGTCTCATCACTCTCTTTCTCTTCTCCTCTCTCCCTCTCTCTCTCCTTCTCTCCATCCATTGGTCCTGCAACACTTCGAAACGTTTTTCAAGACATTTATTATGAAAGTATTTCGGAGAGAATATTGTAAAATCTGGGAAAGCAGACCTCACTGAGATGTACGTAAAACCATGCTCTGACTTGTTTAGCCCCAAAAGTGATGATGGGTTTGTAAAAACAGGCTTGATGTGAATGATTTGCAAAATAATATTAGAGAAACTCTCTACTTGAACAGTGGATGATCTTGCAGGGGATCTGGCATGATTTGGTGATTTCCCTGCTCTGACACACCTAATCAGAGGTGGGTAGAGTAGCCTATACCCAAATTCAGAAAAATATATGGTTACTTAAAATAATTACTGAAGTAAAAGTACCAGACCAAACTGAAGTTTGAAGTTTGCTCTATTCTTCTCTCTTTGTATCTAAAATAACCCTGAGGAGTCAAAAGTGTGACCAGTTACTAAGCAGCACAGGTGATGTCACCAAAATAACAGAATGAAATCAAAGACAAACAAAGGGAATAACTAAATACTAATGCGATGCCTCACAAATATAAACGAGCACGAAAAAACAAGCATCATTTTAAAATACTAAAAAAATTACAAATCCATCAAAATGTTACTTAAGTACTGAGTAACTGAGTAAATCTAACATTTACCCACCTCTATTTATACACACATAAATACATGTAAAATATATACTAAATATGTAATATATGGTAAGTCTAAACGTTTCAACTATGTATAAAGTTTAAGCTCTTAAGCACTGAGACTTTCAAACTTTTTTTTCAAACTTTTTTTCCCTCTAACAGTCAGAGCTAGTCTGGCCCTGCCTAGTTTAGCCACGTAGTACTGAAGAACTGTCATGTTCTAAGTTTTTGTGAGTAGCTTCGTTAATCTTAAACCCAGGTGGCCTACCTGAGACAGCAGGAGGAACTTTACTGCAGCAGTTGTGATCTCTGTGCTGTCAAATTGGTCGATAAATCCAGCCTATGTTCCCATAGTTTTCCAAAAGTTATTCTCCTGCTCTTCGTCCCGTTAGGCGCCCTCCGAGTCTTCCTTCGTTGTTTTCACACTTTTTCTCAGCCCACGTTTCGGTTTTCCCCCCTTATACCTCCTCAGATTTCACACAGCTTAGCCACAAAACCTTAATGTTTATGTCAAACGGCTCCGTTAGTACTGAGCTAACTTAGATGCCACGAAAATCTTGAGGACGAGCTAAAAACTTGAGGAATTTCGCAACGTTTTGTCAGAGGGGAACGTGAGGGGAGGAGAAAGGGCGAGGAGTCTGAAAGGAGAACCATCAGGTGTCCGATTTCAGCCTTTCACTGCAGTTTGAATCTGTTCTTCCTCACATCCCCCAGACCATTGAAATACAACCACTGATTTCACAGCTGGACCGAGCAGAGCAGACCACCACACTCAGTCTTCAGACTGAGACTTATTCCCTGAGAAACAAAACAAAGCAAATAAAAGTAATGGCTGCTGAACGTGGGCAGAGACAGCGAGTCTGCACAAGTCTGAGAAGTTCAGTCATCAGGAGCAGTAAAACACAGCCTCAGGGAAGACTGTTAGTGTCCTGAAGATGACTGAAAATGAACAGACTGTTCCACTAGAAGACTTTTACTCATAAAACAGCTCTTTAAGGGGGCCTTTACAGTCTGAATATGATGGATTCAGTCTTTACATGTCAGTGTTTTAAATGTTCATTTTAGTGACAAATGATTCAATAAGATGAACAGATTGTAACAGAATAACGAAAACAGCTATTTAGAAACTTTTCATCATCTTATTTTGTGGCCGGTAGTGGTAAAATGAACAAATAAAGAAATAAATCAGAAAAGGATCAGTTGTCCTAATGTAGGACTGTAAGAGAAAGACTGAAAAAACAACCGAACAAACAAAGAAAACCCCAGATGATCCTGAAAGGTAGTCTAAAAATAAAGGACCCTTTTAAAAGATCTCTGAACTCATCTTCGCCTGAATGTGAGCTGGAAAATCGCGCTGTGTGTCATGAACGGTTTCAAACTCCGGGCTCCAGTGAAGGCAGCCCTGCAGTGCGTTTCCGCTTCCTCAGAGTCAGCTGATCGGAGCGGGTGACTGTAGTCGGTCTGGTCTGAGTCTGAGAGAAAAGCCTTTAAATGTATAAATGACGGTAACTTAAAGTGTATCTTTCCGCTCAGCGCTGAGAGTCAGTTCGGTATATCGGAACACTGCGGGGTATTTACTGAGAAATGGCTGGAGCTTCGTGCTGTGGACCGAAGCTCGCGGCGTGCGGGCTGGTTCTGAGTGTTTGGGCTGTTATCATGCTGGTAAGAACAGTGTAGACTTTTTAACTTCATTCAGTCCCGTCTAATACTTTAAAATGTGTTGAACGACAAATATGTAGCTAAAAAGCTCCAAACAAAGCTCTTAAGTAGACAAAGTATTTATTCGCAAACTTGAAAATAGAAAATGGGAATCACGTGACTTTGTGTTTCTGGAAGTCTGTGTGGTTTAATTGTTAAGCTGTAACACAGGATCTACAATGGGTTGAAACAAAAGAAGAGAAAGAACTAAACAAGGCTAAACAATGAACTAACGTGTTTAGCTTTTAATCCACAGCTTTTTCATACTTCATGCAGTTTCTTATATGCAAAGTCAGTTTTCGCTAGTAGAGAAATTCACTTTGAACGTGTAATAATTAGAAGACAGTATTTTATTGTATTGTGATAAATTAGACTACAATACTTTGACTTAACTTCACTAACGTAACTAATGTTTCATTAAAAAGAGAGCATAATTATTTGTAATTGGATCATGTGCAGCACAGTAAGTTGTGAACTTGAAATAAAAATCAGTGTGTTCATATGTGGCCCTACCCTGTTTTTTCTGTCTGTTCCAACTTATCAAACCTTCGAAAAACTAAATATTGGTATACGTGTCATGAACCATGTTTTGAGAAGTTGAGTTTGATGTACCAAATTAAATTTTTACTAGTGCGAGTTACATTTTCACTTATTCAAGTTAAATTTGACATAAAGAAATTTGAGTTAAGCTAAGCTAAAACCACTCGCCAAATGAGACTGGTGATTCTTCACAAAATCCAAAGCTGAGTGTATCTGCCCAGTTATTTAGGAGAAATGTCTTCATGAAACACTTTATCTGCTCTTCCTTTAGGCATTGCTGGGGATTTTCTTCACCACTCATTCAGCCACTCTGTTTGAGGATGTGCCAATCCCGGAGGAGTACATGCACAACAAGTGAGTTCCCCTACTGCGCTCTTCCTCTTTCACCATGGAAAGGAGGTGTAATAAAGGGCTCTCATGCTTAGCAGACTTAAAAACTTGGTCTAGAAGTAACTTCAAAAGCTTGTTCTGTTGCTTGTGGGCAGCAGGTACTGTTATTGGATGAGAGTTTCTGGGAGTTAGAGTGCAGCAGAAAAGGCAGTGAAACGTGCAGACGGAGTAATTTCTTATGTAACAATGCACTCACACCGCGCTAAGATACCTCATTGAATGAGCTCAAAGGCTATTAATTTTTTTTTGTTAGTGCCAAAGATGAAATGTTCCTTATCTCAGTTATAAATGAACTTTTTCTCTTTGCAGGCAAAACCCACTCCAGAATGTTTACGATATTTACAACAAAGTCGGCTACAACTGCTTCATCGCTGCAGGAATCTATGTGGTGATTGGAATCGTGTCTTTCTATAATGTCCGAATGAATAAACGCAATGAATATCTTGTGCGTTAACACCATGTAATGGATTAAGCACAACCCTAGGCCTAATGAAAGTGACCTTATTGTATTGTCCATTTTTGGTGCATTTCATTATGGATGCATATACTCATGCTATAATAATGCTGGAGGTAATTATTTAAGGTGTAATCAGACCCTAAGGATCAAGTTTTCTCTGTGCCTGTTTGTCTCTGCAAAAGATCTTTTAAAGCTGCACTGTGTAAGAAAAAAATAAAATATATATATATATATATATATATATATATATATATATATATATATATATATATATATATTTGTTAAATTTAAAAGAAGTAACATTGCTGAGCCGAAAAAAACACACTATATAGTGCGCTGCTTCAGTCACCCTGTAAAAAATCATTTGAGTTAGAGGTGTTAGATCAGATTTTGTGTGAGTTTTTGGACCACTTCATACGTCTTTATATAGTAATGTCATCCGTACAGACTCAAAAAGAGTCCATCGTGATGTTTTTTGTAACAAATGTAAAAGCTATCGTACTGATATGATGACAAAGATATGGTGACAGTAGTTGATGACAGCATGTCCTTCACTGAGTTTTGACAGTGGGTTTTTTTTTTTTGTTTTGTTTTGTTTTTTTTAATATAATCCTCCTTAAACTCACTCACAGTTATCAGATTCATCTGCTCGGGAGAGGGGTCTGAAGCACAGCTGACATTACAAATGACACATTTCCACCAGAGGGGTCTCCAAATCCCCCAAATGTACATAGTGCAGCTTTAACAAAACACAAGAGTCTTTTGAATAGTGGTGGGCAATATGACAAAAATATATCACTGATATTATTGAATATATAATATTGAAGAAATTTTCACGATACACAATGTGTCACAGTATTTATTTTTAGACAGCTATTGGACAAAAAAGAACCAAAGGCACCACATTTTAAAAATGCTATCAAAATCTATGAATACATTGATTTTTGTTTTTATTTAGCATTTCTCAAACTGTATTACACAAAATCCAGTTCATCAGGCATAATTTTGTTATTTTTGTAATGAAACATGCAGTTTGTCAGTGTTCTATCAGTACTGATGATATTCATGAAAAGCATATAGTGACATATTGTAATTTATCACACTGTCAGTAAATATTGTCATATTGCCCAGTCCTACTTATGAGTGAGATCTTCATGGCTGGAGGCTTGCTGTATTCAGGGTGTGAAGCAGTGTACCTCACTGCCATCTGTTGTTTTAATTCCTTACTTGCCTTTGGACCAACTGCCTTAAATTTCTCAATGTATAAAAATGAAACAAGTGCCACTGTGAGTTAGGTTGGTGTCAGTATTGGCCTACCTGCAGAATGTATGAAAAATACATGATGTATTTGCCACATTTTTATTGAGAAGTAAATACAAACATGTAAAAATGAATATCATGTGGTTGTAATTTTATCTAAAATGTTCACAGCAGATTATTGGTACTGGTACTGTACCCTGGCATCACAGCATTTCCAAGTTACTGATTCTGACTAAACATTCATTAACTGAGACTGATAGATCCCAGTAATATAGAAATATGATATAGACAGCAATACATTACCACAAAATATAGGATTTGCCATGTCCATTTATGGAATAGTAATGTTAAAGGTGCATGCAAGAGGATATTGATTACAAAAAGCCTTGAAGTTATGCTGCATTTAAAATGTTTTATTTTTTTGCAATGTGTTAAATTCAGCTAATAAATAGGAATTGTGTTCTAAAATGATCAGGCAAATGCCATTTTTAAGTTACGTTACTGTGGAGGATGTGTTACCAACAAAATGTAATATGACCAGGGGTGTTCACACTTTTTCATGTGACTATGTATGTTTTGTCTTTTCTCTTTATACGCTATTTGAAAGCATCAGATAGCTTTCACATAATGTGAATTTCATGGTGAACTGACCAATAGAAATGGTCTACAATTATTTTGAAAAAATATCTTACAAGTTAAGTTTTTCCTGAAAAGTCACAATTCTGGAGATACATGGTTTTGCTCTGACAGTGATGCTGTATCCTGAGCAGAAAATCAGAAAATCCCAGAATTCCCCAAGCAGAGTAAAATAAGCCCTTGAGGTTCTCTCTATATTGTAATGCTGTTCTCTATTCGGCTGGGACACAAGTAGAGATACTGGAGCTCCAGGCCCTCATTCTGCTTTACAATCTGCTCTTCGATGTCCTTCAGCTCCTGCTTGAAGGTTTCAATCACCTGTAAAGCTGCTGGTTCAACAAAGTACTGCTCCACGTACTGCGCCATGGGGATCTGAGCATGTGAATTAGAGAAGGAGAGAGAAGGAGGACAGAAATAAGGTAAAATAAAAGCAAATAGTGCATTAAAATGTGAATAAAAATGTTAATAATTAGCTTTATACATAACTGAAGAGACTGTGTGCAGTTAGCCATTCAGACTGTAAGATTTAAGTTTTTTAAATTAATACGGTGGCAACCTGTTTCTGAGAGCTAACAGCCCTGCATTGTAATAACACAGATAAACCTTGTTTGAGCCCTTAAACTCTAGGCTTATCATTCTGTAACTGCTATGAAGGATTCAGTAACTACTATGTAAGTTATCTGCTCTTCTTCCAATATGTAAGTTATATAGTAATGAGCATGAGAAACTAAAAGGCCCACATACAGACCATTGGAGTTTAAAGGGCTAGACAACTATTTTGCAGAAATATTGACTCACTGCATCTGGCTGAGCCCTTCCTAAATGCCATGTGATCGCCATCTGCACACATGACTGGCTGATATCTGGCAGCGTGTCAATGATCAGCCCCATAGTGACCGCGTCCTTGTCTGTAGGCGGAGGCTGGCGCATGGTGCAAGGAGTGTTGGGTACCCACGCACACCAATCAAACTGTTGTTGACATACAGAGGAAAAAAAGACAACTTGAACAATCTGAATGGAACAAAAAATACTGCCTATACTGACTATTTGTATCAAAAAAATGATACACATGCATAAAAAAAAACACATGGAAGGCTTATTGAAATGTAATAAACAGTCATCGTCACTTCAAATTATTTGTTGATATAATTTTAAATCTTTTGAAAACACCAGCTGCTCTTTATGTTGTGTGAAGATTTTATGATAAATGGACCAATAGCAATGGCCCAAAATGTCTTGGAAGTAAATCATTTGTTACATTAATATACATAAGTGAATGGGAAATTCCACTCCAAATTTTTGCATAATTCCATAGTTGAGATGTAAACAACATAATTCAGTGTGAAACGGCTAATTGTAAAGGAATTGACAGACTCTGGTGATACGAACCAAGTCACAATGTCTACAACACATATAGCCAATTTATTTACTGTAAAAATGACCACTGAACCCACACGTCTTCTGAGGCTTTATGTGTACATTGGAGATGGTAAACTTTTGATTGGGCACTATTTTGCCTTAGAACATCCTGCATGTATTTCTCCACCAAGAATAGCTTAAAAATTATGTTTTAGGCCAAACTCTTCTCTCACAACTGTCATAGAACAATGTTTCAGGCATCAAACAGCATATACGTAACCGTTACACGTAAAAACTTTCTTTGAGGGAGCTCTTGAAAACGGCACAGTCTTCAGACTTTGGTTCCTATCACCAACGCTGTGTACTTTCGGACTTGGTAACTTACTCTAGAATGGAGCCCTTTGCATCAAACTCTGAATGACTTTGTTTACATCTTAACTATTTAATTATGCATATTTTTTTTAATGAGTACAATTCTCCTTTAATGTATCTTAACAGCCTTTTCGTTACTATTTCAGACACACGGTTTTATACTTAATACTCATTAATAACAAATAAGCTAATATAGGTAAGTGGTTTAGGTCTTGTGTTATGAAACAAGAGATGTCAGTTACCTGTCCATTGTTGGTTGCTGCATGTTGGGCCGTGGTGGTAAAGATGACAACACTCAGCAGAGTGATCAGCTCCTCTTTTGTTTTCAGTTCATTAGACAGTCCTGTCAAACATGAATTACAAGAACATATTCACTCTTAAAAAAAAGATGGTTTTTCAAGGGCTTGTTAGTAAAGACAATGGTTCTATATAGAACCATGAACACTCAAAGAACGATTTGCAGTTAATTAAATGTTTGTGTTGTGAAATGGTTCTTCAGACTGACATACACTGACTTGCCAAAAGTCATGGGACAGGAACTAATATCATGTAGGACCCCCTCTAGCCCAGTGAAGTGCAGCAAGTGGACGGAAAAAGTCTGGAGAGATGTTGAGCCATGCCATCTGGATAGCCACCCACAGCTCCGCGGTATTTGTAGGTGCAGAATCTTGGGCGCGAATGGACCTCTCCACCATATCCCATAAAGGCTCATTTGAGCTTTGATGTTGGGCGAACGTGCAGGCCACACTATTCATCAGAATTCATCAGAATGCTCCACTAACCAATGCCGGAATATCCCATCATTGTGGGGGTACATGAAGTCATGGTAACAAAGCAGTGAAACGTAGTGATCACCAATTAATGACATGTTTAGGTGGTCCACTGGACCCAACCCATGCCTTGAGAACACACCCCACACCAGTATGGAACCACCTGTAGCCTGCACAGTGCCTTGTTGACAACTGGGGTCCAGGGGTCTGCGGAATGCTCAAACCCCACCAACTGGTACCGTGACTCATTGGACCACGCCACATGTTGCCAGTCCTCTAGGGTCCAGGTAGCAACCTCACGAGCCCAGGTGAGGCACTGTGTCCGGTGATGTGGTGTAAACAGAGAGGCACTCTGGTGGGTCTTTTGCTCCTGCACTGACCAGCAAGATATATGTTTGGGCCCTCCTGCATTGAATATGAGTCCTTTGTTTGTTCGCATGGACAATTATAGCCAGATGCTGCCAGTCACGGTCACCTGTGGGTGACAACTGCGCTGTCCACTGTGGATGGTAATGCCATCTATGATGTATTCCCGGTACACACGGGACACTGTGGATCAAGAAATGTTCAATGCCTGCACATGGAACATCCCACCCGTCTGGCACCCACTATCAAGCCTCGTTCAAACTCTGATAATTCACGTCGCCTTTCCATGAGCACACTGGCCAGTGTTCAACCTCACTTACAAGATAACACCTTACAACTTATACAGGTGTGGGCATTCCCAAGACGTCCCCTGAGGTACCACCACTTCATAATCAATTTGCATACTGCTATTCCATGACTTTTGGCACATCAGTGTAGAATGTGTTATATATGGTTCTATATAGCACCAAAGAGGGGTTAGTCTATTATTAAACACTTAACATTGCAATAACAGCAGGACCCTTTTGGTGCTATATAGAACCATTTTCAAAATATACAGCACATTCTCCATGAAATTAATCAAGCAAATGGTTCTTTGAGTGTTCATGGTACTACATAGAACCAATGTCTTTTCTTAAGAACCCTTGAAGAACCATTTTTTTAAAAATTGTTCATTACTGTGCAATTGATGACAGATAAGGATTAGGCTTCAAATGAGTTGGTCTGACACCAGTGGTGTGTTCTTGGAACTGACCAAACTCAGGACGGTCCACAAAGCCTTCATCCACTATATCCTTAATCCATGCCTGCAGTTCTGTGTCCTGCTGCACATCACTGTCACTGCTGTAGTACAGAGACACCATACTGGAGACAAAACTGTGGAGAGGAGAGAGAGAGACAGAGCGAGAGAGAGAGAAAGAAAGAGAGAGAGAGAGAGAGAGAGAGATTAGTTTCTAGGAGTGGCAATGGACCGGTTGACCCTTTTTAACAGCTGCTTCGCAAATGCTTTCTACAGCGTAATGTAAACATTACTCTGCTGAATAGGTTTAACTGACTAACATTTTATTTTGCATGGTAAGTCAATCAAGCATGAATTATCTGTGTTATCTTTAAAGAGGAATTCCACCTTCATATTCCACCAGCACATTTGAAGGCTAATCCTTATCGGTCATCATCTGCACAGAGTACTGAAAGTGTTTTTGTAATTCACGTTTGACAGGGCTGGCGAAATTAACTATATACAGAATGATCAGTCTACTGAGTGCTGTCATCTTTATCAGCACAGCCCAACAATGGGCAGATCACTGACATCTCGTTTCATAACACAGGACTTAAACCACCTAACCATATTAGCTCTTTACAGAGTCGTGTTAATAAATGAGTATTCAGTATGAAACCATGTGTCTCCAAAATACTAAATTTGCTGGAGGAAAAACTCTGTCAACGTCCACTGAAGGGGAATTCCACTGATTTTTAAACATTTCTGGATAATGCAATAGTCAAGATGTAAACAAAGTCATTCAGAGTGGTTTGATGTGAAATGCTCAGTTCTAGAGAAACTTACTGAGTCAGAATTGTTCACAGTGGTGGTGATAAGAACCAGACGTCTGAAGGGCTGAATACCTCTAAAAGTCACCTCACAGAAAGTGGACATGAATATTCTGTCTTATGCCTGAGACACTGCTGAATGATAGTCTTGTGATAAGGTTTTGGCCTAAAATGTTTGTTTTAAAATACATTCATGGCGGGGAGGTACATGCAGGGTGTTCTAAGACAAAATAGTGCCCAAAGATATTTTTCCAGGTATACCACTATAATTTACTATCATCAACATCACATATAAATACTCAAGAGACATAAGCAGGTTCAATGGTTATTTTGGATAGTAAATAAAATGTTTATATTTCTGTTGTAGACATTGTGATCTGTCACCACCGATGTAAAGAAATCTGGGCTGGTATATTTCTCTATAATGAACTATTACACATCAAAGCACTCCAAATGATTTCTGTTACATCTCAACGATGGAATTATGTGGAAATTTTGCCCATTTTATCTTTATACAAGGATCATGGGGCTATCACAAAGCAAGCTCAAAATAAAACGGTATTCAATAAACATACTGAAAATAAAAGGTAAGTTTGATTGTCTGCTTAATGTCAGGACCAAACGATTTAAAATGACTCACTTGTGAATGGCATCCCAGATCATCAGAGCATGGTCTCTGTAGAAATAGCCTTTGAGTTTAGTGACACCTCGATCCAAAAAGTCAAAGTTGGGCTGGAGGGAGCGGTAGGTCAGGATCTGATATGCCCTCTGAGCCAGCACCAGCAGTCCATCCCCACCTGTGGACACCACCTGCAGAGAAAGAACACCTGTGGTCATGAGAACAGCTCCAAACAAAATGAAAAGAAAGCAGGACACTGAGTTTACTTGATTCAGCTATGTACATCATTTTGAACAAACAATAATACATCAACATGGTTTTGTCTTTAAGTTTTTTTTTAAATTTTATTCATGTGGAAGGAAGAACATTTAAATCAAGCTGTGCTACAGGTACCCCAGTCAGGTGACATGTTTTGTGAATATAAGTTGATGCAAACTCTACAGACAACACACACTGTAATGCACATTTATTGCTTGTCTGCACAATTTAACATACTGGGGGAAAAATATAAAATGTGGCCTGTGCAAAAATGAAGGCACATTTTATATTTTATGTTTTTTTTTCCAGTATGTTAAACTCAGGAAAATAAATAGAAACTGTGCACAAAAAAATAGCAAAAATGCCATTCTAAAGTTTGCTCCCTGTAGAGGATGTGTTCACTTGTGTTCACTCAGAAATCAACACAAAATATAATTTGACCAGGGTCTTTTAAAATATTTCATAGAAGTGTACACCAGATGGCGCTGCACTTTCACAATTCAGAGCATTTCACACAAAGGCCGATAACTCTAGCATACCCTGGCTAGACAAATATTTAATCAGCAATAAAACATCTACTGATGCAAATGTATTTTTATATCACACATCACAAATGCTGCAATGTACAATATCAATGGCATCACATGTTTTCAGGCCACTTCACTTGTGCATTCTTTCAGCAGCTGTTCATGGAAAAAGAGGCTGACCCTTTTGAAGATGCCATCAGGAGAGATGAGCTGTGTGCGCGCACGACAGTTTATCTCCAGAGTGTACTTCAGGTGAGGAGTGAGCAGCTGCAACAGAGAGAGAGGAAGAGAGAGAATCACTGTCTATTTGCTTAGTACTCCACTGTTAAACTACATTTAAAAAGCGAGGCATTGAACTTACTTGACTCCATGTTAATAAAACATATTACATTTGCCAAAAGTAGAGAAACTGAAAGACAGAACTGTGTTAATATAGTGGAATTTATTCATGTGGAAATAAAATGAACTACTTCAATGAACTACTTTTTTTCAATGTAAACAATGACATGTTTCAAATAGAACTACATCTGACTTCATCTCCCATGACTTTTGTATCACTTTATGTTTCCCTTGTTTCCCATCTCTACCCTCATGCTAACCTTATAAATGGGGTGGACGGCAGGTAGCTGCCTCAGCGTGGCCACACAGATCACTTCCGCTACAAGGTGAGTGCGCAACAGATGGGACAACACCTGGAACACCTGGAACTCTGCATGGCGGACCCACATTTTAGCCAACAGCCAGGCTAGGGGCGGGTCGCTGGGGAGGAAGATCGGCGTATCTCGGCCAGGATTCTGTTCAAGCTGAGAAAGATTAATATAAAAGACAATTTAATTAGACATTTTATTTGCTGTTTATAATCAACGGAATAGATTTATTGAAAACTTTTAAAAAAGCATTTTTAATGAGTTTTTCACGAAGGTCCACTTACAACATTTGTGCAGTTTTATGTACCAAAACAGTTATCATTCACATTTAAACGGTCATTTTCCAACCTGTGTTTATCCCTAGGAAATAATTAGGCTGTTTTTTGTTTGTTTGTTTGTTTGTTCTTTGTTTTTTTTATTACTGTGCCTTTAAGACTGATATATGAGCTTTGTGGGCAGGACATGGTATATTGCAATTAATATCCACATATTTTTACTTTGTAAGTCAAACAAGCTTTATTCCCTTTTTTTACCTGTATGGCGATGGGAATGAGGCCATTGTCAGGATGCTCGTAGAGTAAGCACAGAGGAGCTGCTATGTGCTGCTTTATATTTCTGATCACATTCGCGGGGACGTTATCCATTATTCTGTGGTCAACCAGGTATACATTTCCAGCCTTTAGAAAGACAGAGAGACAGTCTTATGGCCTTCAGTGTACCAGTACAGTATTACCTGCTAATATGTAACATTAGTGGACTGTGATTACAATAAACTGTACTGGCTGGTCAATGCATTGACCATGATCCATTACAGAGGATTAACCAAACCTGACCTTGAGCTCTTTGTCCAGGGTGGTGTTGGGGCTTAAAAAGGCCTGCACCATGTCTCCAGAGACAGGGAAGTTAGACGGCAGCATCCTGCACCTTCTGATCATTCTCGGGTTAGTGCCATTTAGGAACTGATAGCCGAAAAACCAGTCCTCCTTCCAGTGTTTCATAGTGTATTCTAATCACATGCATAGAGCTAAATTAGTGTTATAATCCAGTTTAAGAATGGTTCTGACACATTTTCTTGCTGCATTTACTTCAAGCATGAGACAAAAGGTTTTCTTAACATTCACATTTCTAGCATTTAGTAGACTCTCTTATCCAGAGCAACTTAACAAAACGTTCTCATTTCAATAAGCTGTGCAAGAAATCATTAGTAGTGTGTCACTAGAAATGTGAAAAGAAATCCAGCACCACAGACCAACCAGTATGGCTGGTGAACAATCAAGCCCCAAATGTCATAGCGTAGAGGGTAACACTGCTGCCCTCCTGACTGAGGTTCATTTCCCCACCAAGGCAAGCATCCCATGCTATACCAATAAGAGTCATTGGGCAAGACTCCAAACACTCCATTTGCCTACTGTAACATTACTAATTTTTTATTTACTCTGGATAAGAGAGTAGAATGCCATCTGTCTGGTTGATAGCCATCATTGTTTTGAACTACATACAAGAAACCTAGTTGACCATAGTAGGAACTGCTAGGCTGAAAATAGTCATCTTGGTGATTATTGAAATCATTGGGTAAATAATAGATACTACACCAGCAACGGGACTCCTCAGTTTCCAGAATATTCGTTTAAAATCATCCAGATCATCCCAGGACTTCCCAAACCTGATGGCCAGCTTCTTCAGAGAGAGCTCCAAAAGCCTGAAGAAGAGAAATCATACCATACAGACTATGGAATGGACATGCTTCTCTTTAATGTGGCGCTTTATTGAGACCTGATACAACATTAAACATCAGATCATGCGTTACGTACGCGTAATGAAGTGATCCCTCGAAGTCACTGCGCTTCTCGTTGGCAAAGCGATCATCCGCGGGTAGGTCTGCCTCTGATTTGGCGTCGATGCATTTAGGAATGCCTGGAGCCCATGCTTGCCATCTAACATAACGAACACAAATCATCTCCACTACCAGAGCTCCAAACTACAGAAAAGGATTCTCAGATAGAAAAGCCCCAGCTGTTTAGAATCTTAAAAATGGATCAACACTGATTTAGATGATTTATTATTAAAGAAATTATTTCATATTTTAAAAATTATATAGGAAAGCTTTCAATTGTAAAGCTAAATGAATTTGCTAAATGTTATGTCAAATAGTTCCACACAACTGTGTTAAGTAGCTTCTAAGATACTTGATTAAGTAAAAGCTACTTAAGAAATTTAAGTAAATCACACTAAAGACGTTTGAGTAAATTCTAATTAACTGGACTTAATTTTTTTTTGTTTTACTCAAAAATTAAATGTTGGAATTATATGAAAAGGTTAGGTCAAGTGGTTCCATGCAGCTAGGTTAAGCAGCTTTTGGGATGTTCACTTGACTAACACGTACTCGGTGAATCAGAAAAAGAAAAAGACCAAAGGTAACAGGTTTTAGTTGATCTACCTAACTTTGTGGAATTGTTACTGTACTACTGACCTGTTATAGAATTACGTTTAGCAGTAAGTTACACGGTAACCATCACTTACAGCCAATAAAGTAGCTAGACATTTAACCATGGATTATAAAAAGTATGCACCATAAAGGAAAGATAGGGCAGGGGGAAAGACAACATAAAGACAGTGAGTAAAACAAGTAAAAAGTATATACTAATAGATGCCAGGAGCCAATAGGAAAGATTGCATTGACCAAACAAAGGATTATAAAGGCAATCTGACAACTCACTTTCGTTAAAAAAAACACAACTCAGTTTCACTGACTTGCATGCATTTGTTAAATAATATCAATGTCTTGAAAAACCATTGTGCACAATAAGCACTCAATAATTATGAATAATGCTACTATATTCAGCCAGTATCTATGTTCAGTTGTTTACTGAAGGAGTCACTTTAAAACTGTATAATGTCACTTGTTGCTCACAGTTGTGAAAAAACAAGCTAGCTATCTTAAAAGATCATAGGCTGTATAGGTCTGCTGTTCAATACATTGCCTCCAAAATCTCATATCACTCATATCTCACCAGGACCACCCATAAATGGCTGATTTTTGCCCCACCACAGGAAAGAAAAGTGCATGTCCAAAACAGCACAGCTTTAGCACAGAGGTCCACGCATTATGGACATCACCAAAGTACAGGCTGAAAGGAGCACCACAGGCCTAAGAGTGGTTTTTTGGGACAGACCGTCTGTATGGTCACTCAATCAGACTCTCAACACTACAGTGTACAGACCTGTATGTTTTCTGTCTCTGCTGTAGCTCTGCAGTTCTGTGAGCCAGCTCCTGAGGCAGGATCTCTTCATTCAACTTCTTAGCTGCATGAGAAAACGGAAGAAACGTGCTGCTCTTAAGTAGCGAATTCACTGGTAGGGACTTATCTTGATATTAAACCAAGGTACGACTGAAAAACTCTAGAGTGCATGTGTGATGAACAGGAATGTGAGCGAATGGAGCTAAGTGGCTAAAACTGCAAATTAAATTTGTTTCTATCCATTCAAGCAGGGACTTCCTTTAATTTTGAGGAAGTAAAAGGATGTATTACATTAAAAGATCAATGGAAACTTACAAGTAGCTTCGGATTTTTTTACAGCAAGGTTTTGAGCAGGAAGACATTAACTAGCGTTACTGCTAATTAGCATGGATTGGGTTTTTTAACAACTAGGGCTGGGAGTTGATACCAAAACCAATTGATTCCCTGATTCCAGTAGATTTGAAATCAACTCCATCAGTTCTGATCATTTGGAACTAATTCCAATATTTGTGAAATCTAACAGCTCTATCTATGTTCACATTCATGCTCACTGACATCATCAGTATAAAGCCACTGTTGCAAAGGCCTATAGCTGGAGTTTAAAGTCATTTTACACTCTGAGGTATTGAGAAAAGAATGGCATTTGTCTGTAAAAAGTGATTAACAATTCACTAATTTTAATGCACAATGCTGCTCCATAGGGTCCCATTCATTTTGGACTGTTTGTGAGCGCCCTCTAGTGTCTAATCAAACCAATGGAGATCACTATGTGGACTTCTCCCCAAGAACAAAGTCTCTGATTAAAACATCTGTAGTTAGGACTGACCTGTGCCTTCCCGCACCTCCACTTTCACATCCCCCACCAGCCAGCAGTAGCAGGGGAAGGTCTGGGTGTCGCCCCCTCCTTTGGGAGTCACCAACACATAGCGGCAGAACCAGTTATCCTCCACCCAGTATTTCTGCTTCTCCAAACGCACCAGCAGAACACGGCCCAGAGGAGCCGAGCTCTGCACTGTGTAGTCATCAACCTGGAGGAGAAAGAGGAGGTATATGCTATACCAGAAGTCGGCAAACCAAATGTTAAGAAGAATGTTGTCCTTTCAAAAAAAATTAAACCACCTCGGGAGCCACAATTTTACTATTTTAATTTAAAAATGTCAATTTTACCATCTTGGCTTTAAAAATGTCTCAGTATGTGCTAATGTGCTCACATAGCCTAAAAATATAACTTAGCATAAAGAAAAACACAAACTTGCTCTGCTTCAAGCTTTAGCTGAGCTATAGCAGCTTTTCTCACATCGCCGGCAGGAAACTTTTCCACAAAAGTGGAAAAAACTTGTAAAAGTCAGCTTCTCATTCACCAGCTTCTTGTTCGTATTTTACCATCCCACCTTAAATGGTGCCTGGGGCACCAGAATGTAACTGCGGCACCATTTAAGGAGGAAGAGGAAAATTTGATCAAGAAGCTGACTTCAGCTTCATGACTTTTTAGTGTTTGACAGTTTCATGTTGCAGATTAAACATATCAAGAAACCAGCTGGAGTGATTATAAATGCAAATAAGTCTATTTGTCTCCAAATTATTGATGTTCATCTTAAAACTTTCTCTTTGCCGTTTCGTTAGCTATTAGCTAGGCGAGTAGCTTTATTTCACTGCAAAGGAGGATTATTTCATTATTACGTAAAAATCTCATTCTGCTGTGGAGCCGCAAAAGGGCAGTAAAAGAGCCACATGTTGCCGACCCCTGCACTATTCATTGCTGCCAGGAGATCGAAACGACTTGACGGCACATAGTAATAATAAGAACAATTTTCAAAACATACTGTAAATACATGGAAACTTAAATTTTGAATTTACTGTTTTTGTGATTTCAGAAAAACCAACGTATCTGCCTATTCAGCACACAGCAGGTAAGCCCCACCCATTCATACTGAAGTTAAAAGGAGTTTTCAGGTTGGACTGCTTTTTGAATGAGGCACAATACAGGGCAGCCAGTCACAATAGAGGTCATTTACATATCTCAGTCTGAAAGGCACAGTAACAAAAACAGACTGTTTAATAAGAGATAAAGAGAGGTGGAAATTGTCACATGAAAAGAAATTACTGTACAAATAATAATAAATATGAATAATAAACCAGCTGTAGGAGGTTGTAATACACATATGCAAATACATAACACGCAATCAGTACACCGAGCCACACACTCTCACTCACTGCGCCTCTGCAGAGGTCCAGGCCCGGGTTGTCCAGAACTGTTCTCTCACTCTCTCCTTTCTCGCCCACCAGAGTCACGTACACATAGTTATTAGTGCCTGAGTACTCTGAGGTGCCGGTAGCCACTGTCACTGTGTACTCCATCTGCACACACACACAGCTCACATCAAAGCATCAAAGGAATACTAATCATTTTTCAACCTAATCTGTATCTGCTACAAGTATAGCATGCAGGTAATAACCAGACAGTCATTTCACTGTATAGGAACAGCACTGATTTAAATGATACTTCTAATAGAAGACAATGTGCAGATACTTTAACGATATTTTATGCCTGTGCAAAGGTAAAAGAAAGTGTGTCAAAATTATTGTCCATAATAGTCAACCGTATACTGCAGACGCAGATAGAGATTAGGTGGAATAACACTTGAGAAATTCATTTAAGCACTGAGACAAGAAAAAGCGGCCATACAGAATATGAAGCAAATCAATCTAATTTTCAAATGAATGACTGCAAGACTGTCACACCCTACATTTCTTTCGTTTTTCACCCCTGTTTGCTTTGCGTGATCTGATAAGAAAGTCTGTGCATAATTCCATGACAATTGCAGGCCTATGCTCACTGCCTATCTTGAGGAAGTATCTGTATCTTTAATTCCTAAAAGGCACACACCAGAGGAAAAGAGCTTGAAAGCATATTTTAATCATTTAAAACCCCTTTAAATCACCACAACTTCGAAACAATTAAATCAATTCACAGGTAAGTAACTACTCTCTAAAGTGAATCATATAGGTGTGTATAATGAGGACACAGTTCACATGAATATTGTCGTTTAGAGACGGCTTATGTTTCTCCCCTGTCCCCATTTGGCATAGTCTGAAAAGAAATCGGCTCACAGTTAATCTGAGTGGAATAAAAGAACAGCAAGAACAGCCACACCTGACTGACAGTAACTTTGTCTTGTGACTGTTATAATGTATTACAGACTACTAATACACGTAGCATATACAATATAAAATAAAGGACTTAGTGTTACATCAACTTCCATTATGAGTTAATAATGTTTTTCCTTCTCATGTAAAGTTACCATGCAGACACATGAGGCTTTGTTCTGATACTACTTGAAAATCTTGTGTAGGCTAAAAGCTGGTCTGTGAATTCTGCCACTAAAAGGTTCTCCTGTAATTGTAATAACACATGATTGACTACTAAAACATGTAACTTATCAACCATAAAAGTAATCCCAAAATATAAACTAAACAAAATCCCACATATACTACATAGTTACTGTAAAAACATATAGTTGACTATTAAAACGTGACTACAACATTAAAATATCAAGATAATACGTCACTCCTCCATATACACTATTTTAAAATATTTTAAAATATTGTTACTATCACATCATGTGAAACATAATTTATCCCCCATGAAATAATAGAATTGCTAATACGAAGTAATACCCCTATATGCTTCTTTTTTTGTTGTAGCATGTCATAAACTGCCTGTAAAGCAAAGCATGGACTGTTAAAACATGTTACATATTCATAAAAAGATAGGTCTGCTATTTTAATATTCTAAAATGTTCTGTTACATGACTGGCTGATTTCCCTGTGGCCAATTCTATGGAACCAGCACTGATGCAAATATCTGTTTGCTGCGAGATGCTATTAGAATATCCAAATCCCGTCTTGTAGCCTACAGTGGCTTTAACCAAACTATACTGTACTGCACTGTTGTAATAGAAGAACATCTGCAGCTTTGTAAAACTGCACTTTGAACTTCAGAAAAATTAACTGCCTAAAAAATGAACCAAAGCTTATTTGCAAGCAATAAAGCAAAATCAATTAGTTCAATACATCAAATCACAGAAGTGCAGAGAGATAATTATTTACCTAGAAGGAGTAAAGCTTCTTGGTCAAAATCTTCTAAGTTGTATTTTGTCACTTGTTGTTGTTGTTCAGCACGTCCTCTGTCAAGTTTGTGTAGACACTGTCCTTCTGAAGGTCTCTCTCAGTCCACTTCTCTGGTCATCGCACTGCCTGAAGTCCAGTAGTGGTTTTCTGCATTCCAAAATGCTCACTTTGCTCCTCCCCCTTTCTCTTTCTCACACTATTTCCCACTCTCTCTCTCTCTCTCTCTCTCTCACACACACACACACACACACACACACACACACACGTACACGCACTACACTATGTAAATCACATTTGCTCTGTCTCCTTTTAAAGCTTCACTCTCCAGTTTGAGGAAGCGTACAGTCATAGGTTACTAAATGACCCCATTGCTAACATTCGCAGTTGGATCTTTTTCAAATCTATGCAAATTAGTGTGCTTTGCACAACCACACATCTTCCTTTATCCTACAGAGCTACACTAATCAAGTCACATATCTCTCATGCATTTCAGCACGGCTCTTGGTGCAGCTTTATATGTAATCTTATGCTGATAAGCAAGGAAGCAGTGATGCAGTACAGATATGAGAAAGACGCTGTTTTCAGTTCTCTCGTTTCTCTAGTGTTACCAGCATTTCAGTTCATTTGTAGAGACTGTGTGGTTTGTACTTTTATGTGTCGTGCTACATAAGACTGTTCTTAACTCCTCCGTCTAAACACAGGGAGCTCAGTTCACCACCTGCACTGACTGCTCTACTTCCTTTAGCCTTTGCTGTTTAATGACACTCACTAGTTATTATTTCCACTGGATTATTATTTGCATAGTATTATGATATATTTGCACAGTCCTTCTATACAGTGTTTACAATTTCCTTACTAGTATCTTGGTATATGTATATATTGTTCACTAAGCTTATCAAGTTCTTTATATCTTGCTTTTTTATACAGGACATTAAAGGAATATTTGTACAACTTGAGTTTATCTGAGATTGTTTAATCTCATATCTGGAAATCTGGTATATTTAGCTCTTCTGGTTATGAATGATTCTATCGCACTGCAGTCCCACAGCAAAAAGACTGTTTAAAAACACTTACAGTAAAAGTATTCAGACCTTAGATATTTACAAGGATTATGCTATTATCTGTTTAAACCCAATGCACTGAGATAGTAATAAGCTAAATATATACAAAGTCTTCATTTTTAGGGTATTTTCTTTTGGGAGTTGGCTGCCCCAGTCCCTAACCACTAAATTCCAACTTGTGAAAATAATACTTACATTTTTTTAAAAGATCTTTTTGATTTCTTTTAAAGTGAAGTTTCTAAATAATTTTTAAATAAAAAACTGTTGGAAAATGCTGTCCCATGTTTTCATGTCACTACCGAAACACAAAGAGTTTTAGTACATAGGTAAAGCCTTATTTTATCCACATCATTTTAGAGCAGGAAGTGAGACTGCTTCCCCATCCCTTGCGGCCACATGGTGAGCAGTTAGATCGTTTCAAAGCAAATGTGTCCTGAAGTCTGCAAATCAGTGTGTTACATTAAGAATTGTCAGTACTGAAACACATACTGTCTGCTATTAAGTAAACTTTTTTGTGTTTTCATGACAAATATTATGATTTTATGTGTGTACAGCTGTTCAAAGCTGTGTTTGCTTGTGATTTACTGGCTAGTGTTTTTGAGTCATACCCAAAATTAGCTCAAATATTCACTACTGAAATTTTCACCACTGTCACTACCAAAATATATTTGGTGTAGTTTTAGCAGTTTTATGATTGTTTTGTTAGTGAAAAAATAGAATGGTGAGTCATTTGTTTTAATCAAGAATTATTAAGGTATCTACTAAGGTATCTATTTTTAAGAGTGTAATGAATTTATGCAAGATTAAATGTTAAATATAGTACACATCCTGTGGCTCGCTGCTACAAGCTCTTATTAAAATACGCTTTTTCTCATGTTTTCTTTCCTGAAAAGAAAGTGCTGACGTTCTGAACTTCTCTTTCCTATTTCAGGCCTGCTAATTATCATATGACTCTGCGCTGTAGCTCTGCTGCTACTGTGGGTTTCTGTGGTGAATATACACCCTAGCACAGGAAGAGCATGCAGTTGCACTTGTGTGAACTTTTGAGTTGCCTGTTTACAGGAGGTTCACATAGATTAGTTGGTCCTTAGCAGTGTTTTCCAGTTCTGCATATTTTGGTGTTCTATCTGCTGTAGCACACATACGTCCCCAAAATATCCAATTAGTGAATTCAGTGAAAGTGCCCATTGCTGACTCATTTATTCAATTGTGCACACACAGCTTGTATAATCTTCCCAGAAAAGCATTGCCAATAGAATGGGACACTGAGGAGCAGCTACACATGAGGTCTAAGGTCTCCATGCCCAATGACAAGCATCACCTAGAGGGGTATAAAGCTCCTCAGCACTGGGCTGAAAAGTAGTGAAACTGTTCTCTAGAGTGATAGAGCACCATCCAATACCTTTGGGAGGAGTTGGAGTGGCGTTCGTGATCCAGAACTAATCATCCAACATCAGTACCTGACCTCACTAATGCTCTTGTGGCTGAATGCAATCAAATCCTCACAGTAATGTTCCAACATCTAGTGTAAAGGTGGACAAACTCAATATAAATACTGTTGATTTCAGAAGAAATGAGAAAAGATGTTTTGAATATAGTGTATCTATGTCCAAAGTAAAAACTTAGGGTTCATTTTTAATTCTTCACTTTTATTTGAGCCCTGTATTAAGTCACTCACTAAGAGTACATTGTACCACTGCACGCCTCCACCCTCTGCTCAACAACGTTGGTGCCAAAATGCTGGTTAACATGTCATCTGCTCCCACACTGATTATTGAAACTCCCTCTTTAATGGCCTCCATGTTAAACTGCTCAACTAGCTTCAATTCTTTCAAAACTCTGCAGCCAGAGTCCTCACTTTTACCAAGTGCACTGCACACATCACTCCCATCCTCCCTCAGCTTCACTGGTTACCAATATCCCCCTCTATCAAGCATAAACTTCTTTTTCTAACATTCAAAGCTCTTCATGGTCTCACTCCTATACACCTTAGTGAACTTCTTCATCTGTACTGTCCCTCTCGCTCCCTCAGATCTTCTGGCACTGGACTTCTTGCTGTCCCACACAGAAGACTCTTTAGTCAGTGGCAGGTCTTTCAGTGCTACTGCTTCTAAACATCAGAACTCTCTACCTTAATCTCTTCATGACTGCTCTACCCTCACGTCTTTGAAAGTTCAACTTAAAATCTTCCTTTTTACTGCTCACTACTCTTCTTCTTCAAAGTGTTAGGTGTTTTTGTTGTTTTGTTTTTTTATCCCTCCTCTTTGTAAAGAGTCCTTGGCTTTGTGAAAGGTACTGTATAAATTGAACCTTATGCACACGCGCACACACACACACACACACATTTTCTAAGCTGCTTATCCCTCTGATCTGATCAGGGTGCTGGAGCCTAGTCCATCACAGGGCAGACAGACAGACATATACATTCACACACACACTTACACATAGGGGTAATTTAGTGTGTCCAGTTGGCCTGGCTGGGTACCCAGAGGAAACCCACACAGACACAGGGACTCTCAAACTCTGAAACTTATACATTTTTATTATTATTATTATTATTATGATGATGATTATTATTATTATTACAATGGGGTTGTTAACCCTTCTGGAGTCTATAATTACTATTATCATTTTGTTTTACTATTTAACCCCTTAAATGGCCAAGTTTTACTTCACACTTATATAACCTAAGAATAGCTCAGCCACTTTGCAGTGAAGTCCCTATAGTTACTGAATAATAAGCCTTAGTGTGTAATAAGCCTAGGATTTTAAGGGGTTAAACATAATTTTGCGGTTACATGATTAATTACAAAATGTATGTACAAGTTACATTTTACATTTGACATACATTCTGTGTTGAGTTGACAGGTTCAGCGCTTCTTTCCTTTCTACATTTGTTCTTGTTGCAACAAAGGACAAATATGTAAAGAATGTTTTTAAAAAAACAACAGTACAGCTGCATGCACTACAACAGCTTTTCACTAATTTCAAATGATGAATATCTCGTCTCCTTACAAATGTGGTGTTGATAGAACACAAAACAATTATTATCGCCAGAGATAACTGTGACTTCTAAAGGCTGATTAATAGATCAGTTTATTCAAGTGTACTTAGAGCAGGAACAGCATTAAATTGCACAGTGCAGTTGTACTTCAAGGCCATATTAGGAATCACTAGTTTATAGAAAGTAGATTGGGTAAATACACAGCTGTGTGACTGTATTTCTGTTACGGTGCGATGGTTTCTAGTGTAAAATGTGCAGTAGGTTAGAGGTGCGGTTCATGCATTATAGAGAATGAAGTCTTACATTCTTTGATATTTTCCACAGCTATGTAGTCTTCTTAGAGTGCAAACAATGCCTTTACTGAATCACAATGGAGTCCTTGTGACAACATGATGCAATCCACGCAGAGCCCTTTGCCTGCCAAGAGAAAGCAAAGCTTTTACAGCAGCACAATGTAGATAAAACCCATTTCACATCACAATGAAACTAAACTGTTTCTGTACTTTCATCAATGACTAAAGGTGGGATGAAACTCTATTTCAAGTACAATAGGCCGAAACACAGCCTTCTAAAATTTCACGATAGCTGTAATTTGAGAGAGGCCCACCCAACCTGCCCTTTCGCTGTAGACATATCATCAGTGCTTCAGCAGAGATTTTGGGACGTTCTCACTAGGATGAAGAAGATTGTTCAAACAGAACTGATCATTCTTTATTAACATCTGCTGTGTATTGTTGGCCTTTCTGAGTATTTTAGTGGGACAGAACGGTTGATCAGTATTCCAGGGAGGTGTCTGTTTTCTTTATGATGTTAATTGGGTGTGTAAGCAGTACAAGGACAGGGCTTTACCAGAGTATCATAATTCTGATACTTTTCCTGTTCATGCTGCCCAGCCTCAGCTCTTTACTCTGTACTCTGTCTTTAGTAGAGCCTTTTCAGAATTACTCTCTAGTAAAACTGGAATATTTCACTTGCACTCTGCTGTTTATGTCTCAGTGCAGCAGTGTATTCTGATACTACCAAGGCAGTTGTAGATCACCACAGCAGTGGTGCTTCTCTGCTACGTCTCGGCTAGTATAGACAGCAATGGTCCCTTTTTCAGTCCATGTTGCTTTGTGTCAGCAGTAGTTCTTGTGTAAGCATAGACTCAAGTGCTCTACTGTTTATTTCACCAAACCACAGACTTGAACAGGAGCTCAAACAGAACTATATATATATATATATATATATATATATATTAGACACATAACATATATATATATATATATGAGACACACAACAATGAAAACATGTTTGCTTTTTAATATTAAATTATTTAAATGT